ATAATTTCTGCAATGTAACTTCTAACCCTGGAGTGAAAAGTAATGGGAGTTTCCACAAAATCGTAAAGTTTCAAGATTTTCAAAAGAAATGTCAAGACGACGACATACCTTCTCCGGCTACACCTATGGCGCTGACGGTGAGATGGAGCCGCGACACAAAGCTGCTCGTACGTCGCTGTCAAGAGATCACCATCCGTCCGCCGAGGAGGAAAGGAGGAAGAGGAACCATCAGGGGTAGAGTCTTTTTGTTGGATTGGCCCACGGAAGCGGCCCAATATTTTTAGGCTTTAGCCCGAGAAATTAATTACAGGCTAGGTGTCCAACTATGACACGGGCTATACAAACCCAGATTCAATTAAATTCCAGGCAAAACCCTATATTAAACTCTCAAACTTATCCCAGATTCTCCATTAAACACCTACACTTTTAGTAAAGCAAATAAGTCCTTGGGTCAGATCAATAAGCACTTTCACACTGTGCACTTTGCAGCTAATAAATGCATTGCAAACAAGATACCCAAAAGCATTGAATTTTCTTAATCAGACCCATAGACACTTGGACAGAGTCTCAGAACACAGCTTTAATACATTCACACTTCCATTCCATACCCAACAATGCCTTTGGGAAAGGCACTGGTTTGGGAATTTCAGGAGTAAAATAAGAAGCTAATACAACTAGAAATCACTAAAACCTGATTTTTCAAACAATAATTAAAATCAACATCTGGTTCAATTGATGACAATAAAAATAAAACATAAACATGAACACCAATTTGCCTAAATTTGAAAACAAAAGTCAAAGGAAAGGAGAAATAAAAAAAATATAAAAAAGGAAGTGATCCCCATTTCAAACTCACCGGCGACGAGCGAACTGAAGAGCCTGCCGGTGCTCAGATGATATGATCACCTCAGGGGGGGAATCGAACCGTTGAAAAATTGATCTGATGAATGGAAAAATGAAACGATTCGATAATGTGATCAGAAAACGGAGGGAATTACGGGTTCAAGGTCTAGGGTTGTGGGGATTCCGGTTGTCGTAGTCGTCGTCGTCGGGGATTGTGAGGAAATTGAGCGAACAACAAGAGTTTTCAGATTTTCGTTTACTCCGAGCAAGTTCAGCGGTATAAAGTTCGGCGCATTAGATTCAGATTAATGGGCTGGGCCTCACTTTATGTGCCATGTCCCGTTATTTCCAACCCATCAAGATGTCTTAAAAAAAGAAATAATTTTCCATAAATTCTTTAATATCAATTACGATCTGCTTCTGTCCTTTTGTTATGGGGTCTTATTTTCATAATGGAATTTCACAGCAACAAATTGCTATATAAACAAGAGTAATGATAAGAGGATAAAAATTTAAGATAAAAAATTTGAGATTAATAATGTGATTTATATTGATTTTTTTAAAATAAAAAAATTAATTATTAAATAATATAAAATTTATTTTTTAATATTATAAATAATATGACTTATACATGTCATTAATTTTAAATTTTAATCTCAAATTTTAATTTTATTTATCGTTATTCATATAAACAATTACAAAAGGTGAAAATCAACACGTAGTTTAATTACTTTTAAATTATTTATAAAAGTATTTTTAATAAAGTCTTTTACATATTAATTTATTAAAAAATTTAATTTTTTTATTTTTTTAATATTTTAATTATAAAAAAGATCTTAATTTTTAATTAGGTAGTGATACATGAATAATTTTTTATATAATTTTTTTAATACAATTTCTATTATTAGATAAATAAATACACTCAATATCATAAGTTTTAAATTAATAAAAAAAATTAATTATTTAAATAACACATAAGATTATATAAAAAATAATATAAAAATTTATTCCTAAATTATTTTCATTTTTAACCATTTCTAAATAATTTAAATAATTTAAACTTGTTTGATTGTAAAGGCTCTTTTTGTTTCCATTGCTTATTTTCAAAAAAAAAAAGAAAAAAAGAAAAAAAGGTAAAGACCCTTTATATTAGAAAGGTTGTCTTCAGTTCAATAATTCTTATTTTCCGGAGCCAGAAAAAGACTCTTATAAAATTAGATGGTGTGAATCATTTTTCGAGATGAGATGACAAATATCTCATTATTTGATGTGCCGCATCATCTAACGTCACTATTCTATTTCCACCCATTTAATCTGTGTTTTTTCCACGTCATCTGAGCCCATTTTAAATACCTAATTACTTAATTAATATAAAATAAACAAAATTAAATCGTCTGTCTTCTTCCTCATCTTCTTCATCTTTCTCTGTTACTTGGTCTTCTTTTGTTCGTAGCCTACTCCATAAACCTAGTCTACTGCTCTGTCAATAACATCTCAATTCATGAATCCATATCAACTATAGCTTCAAATTCTTAAAATAGGGACCCATCCAGTCTCGACAGATCTGGAAACCCAGGTCTGGGTTCCTATTGCGACAGCCCTGCGCAAAGAAGAACTGAGAGAGGAGAAAGAGTGAAAGAACTTGTCGTCGATTGGCTCTAATCTCCTTAAACATATATATATATATATATACACACACACTAAGATACCACTAATGGCTTTAATCTCCTTAACCATATCAACATCCACTCTAAAACGAAAGTATATAACTTTTTCAAACTTGATCCGTTGGACTCTTATTATAAAAAATAAGGTGACATCCTCTGTTTACAGAGAGTAAGAGAGGGATTTCAATTCATTACAAATTTCTGTCTTTAGAGTACTGTCATTTGATCGATTGAACTAGTAACGAGAGTAACGATAACCAGAATATAGATGTTACTCAGTTTGCTCTATAAATAGTATATGTAGTTATTCCATAAAGTGAAAAAAGAGCGCCCAACATGATAACCATCCTTCCTTTCCTCGTTCTGAACCACCATCTCCTATTTAAGCTCAAGCAAACTCTCTTTCTGCTTTTCCAGTCTATTTTCCTATAAAAAATGTCTGGGCGAAAAGTTGAGGTATAAATGTCAACAAGAAGAGGAGACTGCAACGACGCAAACAAAGTGACAGGAATACTAGCAAGAAATATTATTGGAATAACCATCCCCAATCTATCATATAGCATCATGAAAAGAGTAGCGCAAAATGCTACCATCATTGCTGCAATAGAGATGAAGAGCGAAGAAAGGCCAATAATCAACTTCAAGGGTAAGGATATATGGAAATCTTGAAAAGCATATCGAGAAGTGAGAATCCCCATAAATATTAGCACTGAACTGGATGCAGCAAAAAGACCAATTGCATCTGAGATTGCAAACACCATGAACGGTACCACAGTTATCGATGCTGTGGGAGGAGGAGTTATTGATGCTGTGGGAGGAGGAGTTACTGATGCTGTGGAAGAAGGATCGGTCCCACTTTTCAAAAATATGGGTAAGCCTGTTTTTTCATCGTTCCCACCAGGAACTGTGAAAGTCGCTGCAAACAAAATGGTAATAGCAAGAGCACCTACGACTGTGCAAGATTCTGCCACTTTTTTCATCCATGCCTCTGCTTCTTTAAGCAAATGCCCATGTTCCCTAACAAACAATTGGGTGGGAGTTTCACCTTCTTTATTTTTCTGGCTTTTGTAGAACTGTGGAACAATGTCTTCCACCGACTGCATTTGTTTCATAATTTATAGATATATTAAGTGAGACAATTAATTTGAAATAACAAAGAAAGCTAAAAGATGAGATTACCTTGAACCAGCGTAGTTCACTTTGTAACCGCAAAGCTGCACCGGAGCTGTGATCTAGTTGAGAAAGAGGAGCTAATTTTGCAGCTAGATGTATTGTATTGTTCCCATCTTCATCGATGGTGGTAACCATATTTGTTTCCTTGCTTGCACCAAATTTATGAAGAAAGTGTGCCACTTTCTCTTGGCGATGTGCTACAGCACAGGTAAACATGTTTCTTGAATCTTCAAGGTCTGTACTGCTCCATAATATATGTGCATTATTATCTTTTGAAATTAATTCGATTGCAATCTCAGGGATGCCATTCTTGATAGCCTGAAAGGTTGCTTCCACTGCTCCACTTTGCACAAATTGATTCACATGTAAATCTGATAATGACCCACATACGAAACGTATAACCTCAGACGCATACTCATCCATCAACTTCAGATTATATATTTGAATTACTGACAAGGAAAAGGAACTTATATTAATATGCTTTATTTTCTACGAAGACCACAAAAATGAAGGAAAAAATTCGTTAAGTGCACGTTGTTGCTTACCAAAGATGAGTAAAGGTGTTGAAAACAACGAAAAGAGTACAAACCGTGGTAAAATTATGATTAATTCCTCTGCAATAATGCCAAAAAGAAAATAGAAAATGAGCACTGGAGTGGATTAGCTATATTCAAAATTTAGACGAATGATTGACTTTCTATAATCTTTGCCAGAAAAATTTCCTTTAACTCAAAATATAACAACAAAAGATGGCCTTAATCAAATTTCTAGAAAGAAAAAAAAAATGTTAAGAACATACACATCCACGGCCATTAGATCATACATTTTTTTGCTAAAAACAAAAAAATACATATTTTCTTTATTTTGCAAGTAGAAAACTGAAAAGTAGTCCTAAGTCTTGACTCAAAAATAATTTGGAGTTCCGACCTTAAAAATGTTATTGAATCAATTAACATTTTGCAAATCAACTATTGGATAAATGTTATTTTTATGTAAATTATGTATATTAGTTTTTATATTTAATTGATTATATTTAATTGATTATTTGATTACACAAAATTTTTCCACCGTTCAATATATATTAGAGAAAGAGAATTCAGTTTCCGCAATCAATTAGTTATAAATATTAAGTCAAACCATATTTTAATTGCCATATTAGGGCCCCTGCAATCAAACTGGCGTTCATCACACAGGCAAGAAAAATAAAGTTAAAAAGAGAAGGCTTAATGTCACTAATAATCCTCAAACTTTATAAAATGAATCATTGTCATCGTATTTTTTAATTGACAGTATGCAACTTACGTTAGTTAAGGTGTTAATATTTGTAATGTTAGTGGAAAAACTTGAACGGTTGAAAATAGTACAATCCATCGGTTGCTCAGTTGAGTAGCAGTAGTCACCATTAGACCCAACAGGAGAATGCGAAATCATTGTCATCGTTTTTTTCTTTTTTTGATAATAAGAAATTTAAGTTAGTTAAGGTGTTAGTATCTGTAGTGTTAGTAGGGAAGCTCAAACGCTTAGAAAGAGTGCGATTCATCGATTGCTCAGTTGGGTAGCAATGGTCATCATTGAACCACAACAAGAATGCGAATCATTGTCATTGTTGTGCTTTGAAAGAATTTGTAAAAATCCCCCCTTTAGAAAAGGGGCAATCATCATCCCGCCGTTACCAGGCGTCATAACTCCGTACATGCTTGTGAAAATCCTCCAAAATTTAATCGTAAAATAACATTTTTCGGTTCCTCAAATTTTTGTTTCAATACACTTTGACCTTCAAAGTTCAATTCTACTCAATTTGGCTCCAATTTTAACTTTTCTTATTATAGTTTTACCCCTAAACTTTTGAAGAGTTTCACTTGAGTCCCAAAATTTTTAAAGGCTTTTTTTAATTTGTGCCTTTAGAAAAAATAGAAATTGATTTTAAAATTTTCAATTACTCAATTAAAATATTCCATAAGACATTAGTGTTAAAATTAATATTTACTTTCATATTTTCTTATAAAAATTTATTGCAAAAAGGTGCAATTAATACATTCTAAAAAAACTCATTTTTTAATTTCATGCATTCAAATCCTTTTTTGCACAAATAAATCATGTAACTTCCATTAAAATCACATGCAATTCATTCAAATATCAACCAAAACAAGCTTAGGGAAATAAATTAAAATATATAAAAATTCATATTATCAAGGTGCAAAATCAAGTTTTTGATACTTATTTGTCTTTAAATAGTCTTTGATACCCAATTAAAAGTTTTATAAAGTATTATTACAAACATAATGATGTTGTAGAGAATGTGGATCTTACTTGTGAGTGTAGGATAAATTTTGTCATGTGGATATTGTGGACCAATGATAACTTTATGTTTTGTTTCTTTGGTTATGAGTGCATAACTAGGAAAAGAAGCAAATATCTTCTTTTTACCCTTTTTTGATCATATTGTTGTTTTTTTTCTTTTTTGTGTTTTTAGTGTGAGTTGTACACATGCAGAGAGTAAAATATCATTTTTTTATTTTTAAGAATCCTAAATTTAGAAAATTTGGTATCAAAATTTTAATGTTTCACACTAATTAGATGAATTTTATATATTTTAGTTTAATATTTAGCCTTAATTTTATTGATATTTAGGTCAGTTGAATGTGATTTTATTAGATTTTACATATTTTTATTATGTAATACATAGAATTTGAAAATTTGAGACTTAAGTGTAATTCTTTAAAAAGTTTATGGACTACAGTATAATAAGAAAAGTTGAATTGGAACCAAATTGAAAAAATCGAAGTTTGAGGGTCAAAGTGTACTGGAATTAAAATTTGAGGGACTGATAATGTTATTTTAGCATTAAATTTTGGAGGATTTTAAGGAAAGAACGAACGGAGTTATGAAGTCCATTAACGGAGGATGATGATTGCCCTTTTTTAAAATTAGGGAATTTTATGAATTTTTTAAGTAAACAGATGACAATGAATCCTTTATAAAAGTTGAGAGATTTTTAGTGGTATTAAGGGAAAAAAAAATACTAATTAAGTGAACGTTATTGCTTACCTCCTGAATACAGTAAACTAACTGTTAATATCCATATCAGAGCCCCTGCAATATATCAGTTATAATTTAGGATTTAGGAAGAAAATATTTGTGCAGAAAAAAAACATTTATAGGAAGAACAGATTTTATAGCTATAATAATTTAAGAGTAAAGTATTTATGAATTGAAGTGCTAAAAAATTAGGAGAATAAACATGTTAAAACACTATGGGAAAATTATGTTATTTTAGAATTTTTCTATGGTGCATTAATGAAATGAGCTAACTTTAGAGCATTCTTTCTTTAATTTTTTAAAAGAAGTACGGATCATAAACATTGATCCCATAATTTATTGCAATTCTATCCAGAAAGATTGCATACTCATGGGAAGAATATATTTTAGAATATGTTTGGTTTAAGAAAAATATATAGTAGAGAGAGACAAAAAAATTTTGAGACATTTCCTTCCTCTACTTCATTTCCATCAAACCAAAAGCTTTTAATTATTAATTTTTTTAAAGTGTCCATAATGAAAGGTAATTCATTCACATTTCCACCACTTGAATTTAAGATCCCTTCGGTTCACTAGAAAGAGATGGAAATCACTACAAGAAAAGTTAAACGACCTACATTCATCCACTTTGGATCATATAATTGCTTTGAAGATAGAAAGCTTTAAATTTTCAAATAATTATCAAGACATAGTAAAGAAAAAATGGAAAAAACAAGCTTATGGAGTGGGAGTTATTCCTTACCAAGTACCAATAAAGGGATTCCAATCGGTCCGCTTCCTAGACCCCGGATGCGTAGTATGACTGCAATTTATAAACGTCTCATGTTCATGATTCATAAAAAAGAAGAAAAATAATACCAAATTTTTAGAATTAAAGTTTAGGATGAATTTATGGTAATTTTTTTTCATTATAATGTGAGTCTCACATGAGCTTACATGATTAATGGTTAAAAAAATTTCGTTAAAATTTCGTTGAAGAATCATTACCCTAAAAATGAATTGAAATTCATCAATGCAATCAGTTGTTGACTTTCTATGGCAGCCAAAAAGGACTATATATCTCTGGTCTTTACCTCGCACATTGAAATGCTGCCAGTGGTGGAATGTTTCCTTTGTATGCCCGGAGTCAATTTAATGATTTATGTTTGCAATTTGTGTTGGGTTTGTTTTGTAAAAGGAGTTGGGGTCCCTTGTTTAGTGTATGGTGCTGTGGCCTATTTGGTCGGAAAGGAACAATAATGTGTTTAGAGGGGGTCAGTGGAATGCGGAAAGAGTATTTGAGTTTATTCAGATTAAGTCTTTTAACTGGATCAAAAGGGAAAACGGAGGGATTAGCTTTTACTTTAAGTGATTGAATTTAGTTTCTTTATTTATGCTATAGGAGAAATTGTAGTTGACATTAGTGGGAATGTAGTTTGATGTAAAGAGCAGAGGTACCGAAGTGGTATCATATACAGACAATATATGGAAAGAGAATGGGCCATAGAGAGAGAAACCCTACGAATAACCCTTAGCCTCTGCTGGATGCTCAGCCTTCGACAAGGGCTATTCACCACCCTGAGAGACAATCGATGAGGAAGCGACCTACCTCTAATCCCAACCCAAACCAATAGAGGAACGGATGCCAGGGATCAGAGAGGACAGGTAGAGAGTACAGAATAGGACAACGGAAGCCATCTTCTGGCTATGGAAAAGGAGTACTTGAACAGGCAACCCCATTTTTTGTCACAAAATTCCAAGATGAATGGGAAATGGGTGAGATGTGGAAAGCTTTTGTCAAGGTTGGCAGAGTAATCCAAGTCTTCATGGTAAGGAAGAGAGATTAAAAAGGAAGGCATTTTGGTTATGTGTTAAATTCTTGAATGTGCAGGATACTAGAGCAGCAGAGCTGCAGTTAAACCAGATCAGGATTGGCCAGCGCACATTGGAAGCAAATCTTGCAAGATTTTCCATGGAGGACACAACAAGGAAGTCGGAGAATCTGGTGGTGTCCAAATCACCAAATGGGAACAGGTTTATTCCACTAGTGGGAAATCCAGAAAAAAGATAGGGGGTCAAATCCTATGCTAGTTTACTTTTTATTTAATGTGAGCTTGATTATCATTTCCATTACCTTCCTCTCTTAAATACTTTGTTTTCTTAACATTTGGCATTTGAGCCTTTGACTTGGTGCAGCCACTACATTTGAGGTACTGTGTGATAGAAAGGCAAAACTTAGCTTTCTATTCAATGGTGTTTATCATGATGGCGTCTTACAACTTTGTGCAGCCTTCAATTCCTCATTTTTGTGGTCATTATCATGATCATTGGAGTATGTTGATTGAAAACTTCTTAAGGTCCAAAGAGTACCGGCGATTGTAGATGCTGGTGTCGTAGAACTAGTACTAGGTGTAAATGATGCATAAAAGGTAGAAGTTGAGGTGTAAAAGTTGAAGGATCATAAGGCGAAGAACTACTTATTCTAAGCCATTGATCATGTAGTCTTGGAAACTGTTCTTAACAAGGATACTTCCATGAAGATTTGAGATTCAATGAAGAAGAAATATCAAGGGAATGTAGGGGCACCAAAGTGACAGCATCTCCAAGCTCTCGGGTATAATTTGAGACTCTGTAAATGAAGATGGGAGAATCTATTGAAGATTATTTCTCCTTGAAATTGGCAATTACAAACACATTGCAGATTAATTATGAAAAATTAGAAGATATCATTATTGTTGAAATATTCTTCGATCAATGACAACTAAATTCAATTATATTGTTTATTCGAATGAAGAATCCAAGAATCTTGGTGTTAAAATATTCATCACCAACTTGGGATCCAAAAGGTGATGACATGAAAGTCTTCTAGAAGCAAATTTTTTACTGCAACGTAAAGTGAAGCCAGACAAGGATATATGATGCAGAGGAGGCCACGTTAGTTGTGTCTAGATATTACATGTATAGTAAATTAAAATATTGTAAACAAAAAGAACACTCTAGAATATGCACAATTGGTGTACATCACCGATGTTTGTAAGTATAAAAAAGAAGAATGGAAGAAGTAGATAGTGTGTGTGCGTGAGTTCAATAGAGAAAAGTGTTATGCTATTTCCTCTCGTACTCAACAAATCTAGTATTAGAGTAATCTACTGCAGTAGTCTCTTCACACGGTCAGGGACCGTGATTCTCCACTTGGTGAAGGCTTTTCCCAGCTTTATTGTTGCAATGGTCAGGGACCGCTCAATCAAATATCATCAAAAAGTAAGTAGGTCAAAGATCTTTTCCTTGGAGAAATTTTTCTTGTGCACAATTTGGGACTGTCAAGCTTGTGTTTTGTTTGTCTGGGACTAGGTCAGTATCGGTAGGGACCACACTAAGTCATAATGGGTGATCAAAGTTGGGTGAACACCATTAGGAAGTTGAATGAAAAATTATATCACATGGCAAACATGTGTTGAATCTTATCTGGAGAGCCAAGACTTGTTGGAGATTGTGAAAGGTGACGAGGTTATGCCACCACCAGAGATCGATGCTACTACATACAAGAAATGGAAAGTTTGAGCTGCCAAGGCCATGTTTACTATAAAAACTTTTGTTGAGGAAGAAATGTTAGAGCATATTAGGTACGCTACCTCACCAAAGGATGCTTGGGATATTTTAGCTGTTCACTTTAAAAAGAACTATACTTGACTTCAATTGCTGGAAAATGAGTTGTTTTTCTCGAGGCAAGAAAATATGCCAATCAGGAAATATTTCACAAAAATGAAATTATTATGCCGAGAAATTTCATAATTGGATGAAGAATCTAAAATTTTAGATGAAAGAATGAGAAGAATAATTATTCATGGGATAAGGCCAGAGTTTAAGGCCTTTATCACTGCTGTACAAGGCTGGAAAACTCAACCAATCGTGGATGAATTAGAGAATTTGTTGGCAAATCAAGAAGCATAGGGAAAGCAAGTAATTGAAGGAGCACAATAGAGGAAGAAGCACTCTTTAGTGGACGAGGCCGAGGAAGAGGGAAGTACAGTACTAAATGAGGCCTCTACAACACCAGAGGAGGAAGTAGAGGCAAAGGCAGATCTCAGAGCATCAAGTTAGATCAGCCAAAGGATAAGAAATCCTAGAGGTAGCAAAATAGGAGCTAGCATTTGGGGGGAGCTCAAGAAGATCAAGAGGTAGAGAGTAGCCACTCCAATAGTTATAGGAGACATAATGATCAGTGTTTTATTTGTGGAAAGAGAGGTCACTTTGCAAGAGATTGTAGATATAAAAAGGGCTTAGTGCAAGGAAATGTTGCTTCCTCAAAAGAGGAAGGAAATCATAGTGAAGAAGAATGGGACATGCAGGCTTCTTGTGCAACTATGGAGATAGAAGCTGAAATTGAGGCTAACCAAGTGGCTTTGTTAGCTTCCAACCGAAGTAGAGTTGACTACAGCAAAAATTGGATAATTGACTCTGGAGCTACTAGTCACATGACAGGAGATGAGGACAAGGTATTGAACTTGTCAGAACACAAAGGAAATAGAGTGGTAGTGACAGTAGATGATACTCGACTTCTGATTAAGCAAATTGGAGTTGCAGTGATAACACCATGCACCAACTCTTAACAAGTAAAGGTGAAAAATGTTTTCCATGTATCTAGGATGATAAAGAATTTGTTGTCTATGTCACAACTTATAGCTCTCGGAAATTATGTGGTGTTTAGACCGAAGGATGTGAAGGTGTATCAACAACTAAAGATTGAAGGCACGCCCATCATGAAAGGAGAAAAGTGGGACTTTGTTTATGTAATGTTTGCTGAAACAGCATATGTGGGCAAGACTAGCAAGAATGATACTTTTGACTTGTGGCATGCACGTCTTGGGCATATTAGCTATCTTAGATTGCAGGTGATGATGAATAAATCTATGATGAAAGGCCTACCTAAGCTAGAATTGCACAAAGATGTTGTTTGTGCTAGTTGTCAATATGGGAAAGCACATCAACTTCCATATCAGGATTCCAAGTTCAAGGCCAAGGAACCACTACAGCTAGTGCACTTAGATGTTTTTGGTAAAGTCAAACTATCATCAATTGGTGGAGCACATTACATGGTGACATTTATTGATGACTACTTAAGGTATGTATGGGTGTACTTCATGAAGGAAAAATCAAAAATTTTAGAATTGTTTAAAAGGTTCAAAAAGTAAGTTGAGCAGATAGTTGGCATGAAAATTTAGTGCCTTCAAATTGACAATGGGGGAGAGTATACATTAAAGGAATTTTCAAATTATCTACGAGATAATCGTATTTGGTGACAACTAACTTGTCCACATACTCCTCAACAAAATGGAGTAGCTGAATAGAAGAACAAGCTCCTAGTAGAAACATGTTGAAGCATGCTGCATGCTAAAAATGTGCCACCTAGATTTTGGGTAAAGTGCATGAAGACTGTAGCCCATGTGATTAATAGGCTTCCTCAAGCTATGTTGGGATTTACCTCACCTTTTGAGAAGCTGTGGAACATCAAGCTAGTGGTGAGCCATTTTCGAGTCTTTGGTTTAGTGTGCTATGTGTTTGTTTTAGAAGCTTAAAGGACCAAGTTTGATAAGAAAGCAGTCAGATGTAGATGCATTTTTCTTGGCTATGATGACCAAAGGAAAGGATGGAGATGCTGTGACCCAAATACTAGGCGTTGGTATGTTTCTAGAAATGTTGTGTTTGATGAAGCATCTTTTTGGCGGTCTCCACAAGAGGTTGTGTTGCCTGATTCCAAGGAATTGGAAGAAGAGGTACAAGAAAAGCTTGGAGAAGATACTTGTAGGCTATTGGATACTCAAGAAGTTGTAGAGAAGGAAAAGGAGATACCTCTTGAAAGAACAGTGAATCCATGGCAAACAGGAGTATGAGAGCCCATGATTGAAGAAACAAGACAAGGTGAAGTGGAAGAAACAGAACAACAGCTTGAGCAGCAGCTAAGACGCTTCACTCGAGAGCTAAAGCCAAATCCTATGTATGCTAATATTGCTCTTATTGAAGCAAGTCCAATAACAGAACCGAAAAACTATGAGGAAGCTGCACAAAGCGTTGAATGGAGAAAAGCACTAGAAAAGGAGATAAAGGCTTTAATGCCAAACCAGACTTGGGAATTGGTACCCAAGCCAAATGATGTGAAGCTAGTATCTTGCAAATGGGTCTACAAGGTTAAGACTCGGCTAGACAAGAAGATAGAGAGATATAAGGCTAGACTTGTTGCTCGAGGGTTCTCCTAACAATACGGGATAGACTATGATGAAACTTTTAGTTTGGTGGCTAAGATTACAACTGTTAGAGTACTACTTGCTCTAGCTACAAGCAAATCATGGAAGCTGTGGCAAATGGATGTGAAGAATGCATTTTTGCTTGGAAAAATTGACAAAGAGATTTATATGGAGCAACCATGTGGATTTGAAGATAATAGGCATCCAGAGTATGTCTGCAAATTAAATAGGGTGTTGTATGGACTAAAACAGGTGTTGAAAGCATGGTATGGCAAAATTGTAGAATTTCTTGTTCAAAGTGGCTATTCAATGATAGTGGCAAACTCAAGCTTATTTGTCAAAACTTCAGGCAACAAAATAACAAGTGTGCTTGTCTACATGGATGAATTAATTGCCACCAGAGATGATATTGAAGAAATTCTTCAAACAAAAGAGAACTTGTCAGTATGGTTCCAAATGAAGGAGTTGGGAGAATTAAAGCAGTTTCTTGGGCTTGAAGTGGATCAGACAAAAGAAAGCATATTCTTATGTCAACAAAGCATGCATTAGACTTATTAAAGAAGTTTGGGATGCTTGAGTGCAAGCCAATCTCAACTCCAATAGAGATGAATGCTAGACTCTGCTCCTATAAAGGAAAGGAATTAGCAAGTGCCACCATGTATTGGCAACTCATTGAAAGCTTAATCTAT